GTGGTGAAGCAGTTCGGCATCATTTAACTTTCTTTCAGCTGAATGCTCTTTTGTTACGCCCCGTAATCACCCAGCGAGATGTTATATCACGACAGAACGGAAAAAGACCACTGCCCGACTGAGGAATTGAACCCCAGACCTTCCGATTACCGGTCGGACGTACTGCCATTACACTACCGGGCTGTCTTCTTCCGTCTTAGGATCTCCCCAGGATCCTAACATCTTTCTGTTCTCTTTGCGCTCCATCATCAAAGATAAACAGACACTGTAGAAACACACATAATCTTTTGCTCTCTTTTTGTTATTTACAATTTCCATTGACACTTCGACGAGCAGTTGTCAGGATGTGCAGAAGCAACTTTCGAACAAACTGAATATGCTTTTTCTATGTCATGACAACATGTAAGGCGACAAAGCATAACAAGCACGGCGTGCAGATGGTTCTCAGTATATCAGTCAATAGACATGAGCTGCAACAGATGTTGAGTCTAATTGCTCCTTCAGAAGAAGACGAACTATCACTAGTTTCGAAGAAGTTAACAAGAACAATATTAAAGATGGAGAAGGAGTTCTGCGGGTTTTAGGTGCTGAAAAGCAGATCTAAGGGCAAGAGATGATACGGGTGGATCGTCAGAAGTATCACAGTTCCACTTGTGTTTTACTAATAGATATGCATTTTAAAAGTTCTTTTCTACAGGCAAAATTGTGAGGTAGAAAAAGTAGATTGTTTATATAATATGAATGTTTAGAAATGTTTGTCGTCTATTTCTTTTGGGCAGCTTTACGTTTAAGTTTTTCATGTTCTCCACGGTAGACAGCAGACATAAATTTCACATACTCCGCATGTGTAACATTACCATCAGGCATCTGTTCAACTATCTTGTAATTACAATGTGCAACCGAGATAGAAAGAAAAACCTCAAAATCGACTTTTCCAATGCTTCTGACAATGCTGCTTTGTCTGTTACCAGAAGAACTTTTGCCTCGCAAGAAAAGAAGAATACTCAAAAATGAGCCGTATTCATCGGCTCCTTGCTATTGCTAAAAAACGTCCATGTTATATCCGAACATGCTGAATGATTTTTGTCCATCCGTTTAAGAATATAATCAACTTCTTTATCAAGTGCTGTAACACCGGCTTTATGAAGACATTCCTTCATTTCATCTGGTGTAATACTGCCATTCTTATTCGTGTCATATTCACGAAAGGATCTTTCAATTTCTTCAACTTCTTCTGGAGTTAATCCACTGCTATTCCCTGCAGCAGACATCCTATAGGAAACAAAATACAACTCAGAGCGCAGAAGAAAAATAAAGATAACGTACTTTTAAATTAAATTTCGATTTTGTGTCTATTTTTTGATATTAGAGCTGATTTTCTTCGATACTCTGATATTTATTCTTTGTGATTTTAATCTGCACACACACTTTTCTTCAACAAAAACGCGATTTCCGTTACGCATGATTAACAAAGCAAGACGTGTAGTGACAGGAAGATGAGAATAAGTTTTTTTACTCTGTGCGGAGCACACGAAGAACAGTAAAAGCTTTGTATAAGAGCCGAAGAAGCGGCATAAAACCTATTTGGTTAAGAAGAAAATCAGACTTCATTCAGTCAAATACGGATTTCAAAACTACGGCTCCTACTAAAATGAAATGTGGATAAGTGAAAGATCTCTGCAGACGTTGCTTTCTTCTTATTTAAAAGTGGAAAAATTCTTCTCATTCTGTAATTAACGTGCAACGATGGCACGCGAATTTGGAAGATTTCCTTTGCTTTTTTAAAAATAAACACAGCCAGAGTATAATAATGAAGGAGGTCTTTTCTCTTTATCCCCATAACTCCGTACATGTCCATACATGTGCATAGAAACATTCCAAGTTAATAATAAAAACTGGTGGAAACTGTTAAACCATCGATGGGATACAGAGCTAGTCCGAACGCTCCTAGCTTACTGAATCCTCAATCTCAATGGGTACATGATACTCTTGGTAGTTCAATAGCTGACATAGCGCATACGTCTTGAAACTTTGCGTCATCAAAATGTATACTTTTTGCAGTTTTAAATTGGTTTCTTTGTTTTCTGCACACACATTTGTTCGTGATTAAAGCATGAATGCAAAGGATAATAAAAAAAACAGGCACTCTTTGTGGTTCACAAGGCTATGCATGCATGTGTGTATTTGCGTTTTTACCTTGATCAATGTATTCTTCATTAGAGGAATGTATACAATCCATGTATTCAAACTGATACAGAAAACTGGTGGAAAATAAAACACAAGATATATGACGACTTGCTCGAAAACTTCTTTCGTTTGATTTAAGCTGAGTCGATTAAGACACTGTTGGCTTTCAAAACGGTGCGTTATTTGTACAAAAAATTTGTTTTTAATATCGGCATAATTAGTATAAAGGAATGTGCTCTACTTTCTAAAACTTTTACAGCATCGACGTATTCATAAGATATATACATCAGTGTTCCGGTAGTTCTCCAAATTTTTTAACATCTTGTCCTCTGCGTGTGTGAAGTTCATCCTAATACAGTTATATCCAATATATAATAATCGTATATTCACTGATGAAATCGACGTACTTACGAGGGAACTTACCGAGGTGTACCCTTCTGATTTCAATGATTTATACATGGATCGATCTGTCATCGTCTTCTGCTCTTGTACAAACTAATGATTCATTTGCTGAGATTAGAAAATTATTTGTCCACAATCTATTAAAAATTAGGAAGAGTCACGCATTGGCATGCACAATTATGAAAAGTGTTACGTCGTCGTACACATATTTGCTTGTGTGATTCGTGGAAGTCGTATTATTAACCGGTGTGAAGCCCATTATATTCCAATTCGAGATGTTTTACGTCATTTATGTGAAAAACGCGAGAAAAACGCGCTTGAGAGTAGTTAACCTGTTAATGGGAGAGAGATGCAGTCCACAAGTTAACAACGGTGTATTTTTCTATCAACGAATAGAAGTCGTCGTCAAATTCAATCCATATGGTGCAGTAACAAAGATTTCGAGGAATAAGATAATCGTCATTCACTATTTTCACCACTGTCCCTCATTTTTAAATCATTAGAAACAAATGACATGCTCTTATCTAATGACATCAATCCAACATACTATTAGTATAGCGTGTGCCAATAACAAAGCATCATATGAGTTTGGTGGACTTATTTGAACATTTAATTCCGGTAAGAAACTGATTATTAGTATGTGTAGATGAAGAATTTATGTCATCCTTTTATGGGTACAGAAGTTTCTACTCTTTTATGTTCACAGTCAAAATATTAGTCAAATTCGGAGGAGTACAAATGCTTAGATGATGTTGACTTATTTGAAAATCGCTAAAGTTTTTATGCAGGAGGTATACGTGAAAAGGAAAACAGCCTGAAACACATCACTCAAAGATTTTTCCAATATCTTTATAACTTTTTCGATTTTACAAACGTTTTTGATAAAGTTTGGCATGTTGGGCTGCTGTATAAATTAAAACAAAAAGGCGGCAGGCCTGCACTTTTGAAATGGTTTGAAAGCTATCTGCATGATAGAAAATATGTTACTATTGTAAATGGAGAAAGTTCAGCGCCGTTTTCTATCAACAGTGGTGTCCCACAAGGGTCAGTCATAGGCCCATTGTTTTTCTTAGTTGATTCATGACATCTGTATTGACAAAAGATCGAAAACTCGCCTGATCGCTGTCAATACGTCCTTATATCACAGTTGTAACAGCATATCTTTCAGTGACAACATTTTAAATTTAGATTTAAAACGCATCTTTGAGTGAACCGAATTTTGGCACTTACCTTTGAATTTAAAAAGGCGTTTGACAATGTTCTTTGGTAAAGCATCTGTTCATCTTCTGCTATATTTGAATAATAATATTATTCAGTATGTTGGCCGCCATAAATACCTCGGCGTACGTTTAATACCTCCGCCTGACTGATCTTTGCATTTATGAAATCACCTTCAAATATAGGTGTACACTCTATCGCATGCACTGCTTTAAACATCTGTTAAGCACAGCAACACTGATATATATATATCTTATGTCTTGTCAGTAATAAGGTATGCAGATGTTATGAAACAAACTCAAACTATAAATAATTCTATTACTAATGTACCAGCTTCTTTGAAACCGATTTCGAAATTACATTACGAAGCTGCACTTATAGTTAGTGATACAATGCGTGTGAATTCACATAAAAAGGTTCTTAACATCTTAAGATAACTTTCTGTCTAACATCTTTTTGCTATACATAGGATTTTATTGCTGTTAAGATTTTTAGTGGTTTGACGTCTGAATTTTGGTTTCAGTAAAGACGTAGATATGCTATCATAAATAATATGTTTAAATTTTAAATTCTAAAAATAAGTTTACTAGAATAATTTTCATATCAAACATGTCACATAAAGAAGCAAATCGGGCAGATTAACAGGAACCTCGGACTGCAAATTCAATCTTCCTGCTATATCAGCAGAGATACTGACAAACAGTACGAAAGTTCACGGTCCATCGAAAGATTTAATACAAATTTATCGAAACATAAAATGACAGTGATTTCAATAGATACTAAATCTTTCTTTTACAAAGTTCAAAAGTTGTAAACATGATAAGTGCTTACTCAGAGAATATTCGCGGCGACGGTTGGTTTGGTATCGCAAGAGCTATATATTATTATTATTGAGTAGATTGTTTTGAAGTGTTGGCAGTATGTTGTCGTATTCGTGACTCACGATACGAAGTAAAAGACAAGTGACACAGGATATGTAAGACTGGTATCCCAATATGTACAGTACACCTTTTCACTTATTTTATATACAGTAAACTATAACGAAAATATAACTATAGAGAAAATAACGGTTTGAGTCTTCAGATTAAAACAGTATTCATAATAGTAAACCGTTATCAATGTTTTAAACGACAAAATATTCTAACACCATCATATTCATTACTGTGGTCGAAATTTTAACAAATTCGTCTTTTTAGCTTTAACTAGTTTTTCTTGTTCGTTATCAAAAACTAAGATTAAAAAGTACGTTTGAGAGCTTTTGAATAGACATATCGAATCGTTCAAAATCGATTGAAGATTCGTCTTCTTCATGGTTGCTTATGTAGTAGGCTATAACTTCTGGATCGAAGTACTTTAGAAAGATTTTTCGACATCGTTTTGTCTTTGGTCCCATACCGTAACTTTTTGAAAAATTTTTGATCAAGACCATCGGAAATTTTTTTTCTAAAGTATCTCGATCCAAAAGTTATTGCGTACCACGTAATCAACCATGAAGAAGACGAATCTACAATCAGTTTTGATCGAACAAGCTTTTAAAATTTTTCGATCCGGCGATATGAAGGGGTCGTCGAAATTTTTTTTGATATCAAAATCATACTGACTATTTATTTAACTATCCCATGAAAAAATTTAAAATAAAAAGACGCACTCAAACGCGTTTTGTTTTAATCGAACATGTTTTCGCTCGACTTTATGCGTGTTTTTATAACGCGTTCAGACGCGTTTTTTTCTAATGAAAACGCTAAGAGCAGTTTTAAAAACGCGCCACTTTGAACTATAGTTTAAAGTGGAATTTTACTTTGGCCTAGACCAGTATTACATTGGACTGAATTTCACTTTGAACGATATATACCTATGCATAGATATGCATACAAACGACTATACAACTTAGCACAGTGGCAAATAAGAGAAAGAAACCAACTTGTACTTACATGACTTCATTGGGATTCGAACGTGGTTACCTAGAATTAAGAAGCAAACACTAAAAAATCTTAACA